AACGGAGCCTTGGAGGTGTGGGGGTGTTCAGGAGCAGAGTGTTTTAACTTTAGAAAGGCCACAATTGTGCTCTCAGGCAGTGGGCAGGGCTAGTGTCACCGCTGTGTTAAGCCTGAGTTTCCTGTGTTCATCGGGACCTCGGTGAGATGGCTAGAGCACGAGCAGTGGCTTCATAAAGCTGTGCAGAGTTCAAGGGAATTTGGTGGGAAAAAGGTTATTGGCTATGCTTATTTACTGCGTATCAGACATAAAACAGCTTCCTGTGATGGAAGTGCTTGTTGCCTTGAGTCATTACATTGGCTTATGAGTTATTACATTGGTTGTCTGCTCCTGATGCTAAGGTCTGTATCCAGAGGGTTTTCTGTAGTAGCGGATGCTCAGTGCTGACTCTTGTGACCTGAGAATAAAAACTGACTCTCTTCTTTTTTTTTTAGCTGAGGAGAAGAAAGAAGAAGAAAAGAAAGAAGAATCAGAGGAATCTGACGATGACATGGGCTTTGGTCTTTTTGACTAAACACTTTTGTACATGTCTGTAATAAAGGACATTTAAGTGTAACTGAAGCTTTTCAGTATCTTGGTAAGATGTTAAGATTTTGCAAGAGCAAGAACTCCAAAATGACATAGGCTTATTTTCCCTCTAGAAAAACATGTCAGTGCTCCTGCCTCTCCCAAGCTGGATCCCTGTTGCTTTTTATGCCTATGTTTCATTCGATTCTTCAGAGCCTGGGGGACTGGCTATGGGGATAAATCACAAGGGACAAAACTTAGTAATATCTTCAGTTGCATACACACACCACATACAACATAAACATTATAGCCAGAATGTCACTGGTAACACCTTTTTAATAGGTCAAAGTAACTGTACAGTTCATTATATTCTTCCTGAGAATAATTTATATCCCTCAACAGCAAAAAGGGAGTGTGGTTTTTATTTTAACAGAACAGATGGTTTAACTGGAAAACCAAGGAAAATCTAATTACACTGCTCTACTGTAACTCCTCCCAGGCAAGATAGACAAAAAGATGGGTTAGTTAACTACAGTGGGTTTAAAATATTCCACATGGCTTTAATCTTTCTTTATAAATTATATAAAAATGGGGAACGTGAATGGTTACAGAACTCCTCTAAATGCGGCTCTGAATTGCTCTGGTACAAAGCAGCATTTTTGCTTCCAAGGAAAATAACATTGCTACAAAAACCTGGCACGTTATTCTGGTGAAAGACAACGAGAGTTTTCCGTTGGGTTCTACAGCTAGTTTCCAAACAAATGCTTCACACATCCACGGAAAAGTAAAAGGAAAATGAAGAGGGCTTTAGTTTGTCTCGAAACGACCGAAGTCTTGAAAATATAGCTTTTTATTTTCTTTCTCTGTAAATTGTGGTTAGCATATTGCGACGTTAAGTGTTCTAATAAAAAATCCAGTCTAGATAGTTCATCCACGGTGGGCAAGAATTCTCAGCCCTGAGGTTTCCCCGAATTCTTCACGTCCCAATATCCTCCCCTGGCTCCGCAGGGCCTGGTCCGAGGCGAGGGCGGGGAGTTGAGCGGTGCCGCCCCGAGGCCTCTGCGCATCCTGCTGTGCTGATGCCGCTTGCGTTGCGGAACCCCAGGCCAGCTTGGCTCTGCGCCGAGAACCAGGTTCAACTGTTGAGAGGAGAGAGGCCCGCGAGCCGCCGGGCAGCTCTGCCGGAGCGGCAGGACCGCGCTGGGGGCCTCCCGGCTGCTGGTGGAACGACGTCCTTCCGAGCACGACCACCGACCTCCTCCCGCGGCGCCTAGTGCGGCCTCATCTGCGCGATCACCTTCAGCCTGGCCTGGTCGATAACATCCAGCAGGTTCTTGGCGTCCACGGCCAGGGCGTGCGCGGCCGTCAGCATCTGCTTCTTGTACTCCTGCTGCAGGCTCGTCATCACGTACTGCTGCGCCAGCTTCATCTTGTTGATGAGCTCGGCCAGGTCCGAGTTGAGCAGCTTCTGGGCCATCTCGATCTGCAGAGGAGAGACGGGGTCAGCCCAGAACCTTGCTAGTGTCACCACCCCCTTTTTTTCCTAACAGCAGCAACAACAAAACAGGGCAAGATGTGAACAAGCTACGGAGCCGTATGAGCCAAGTGGGGGTGATGCTCCAAGAGCAGATTTAAAGAATCGCGCTCAGGCCGCCCAGTTATCCCACTCATTCGGGTTTAGAGGAAAAACGACGTTTCCTCCCGACTCCCAGGGGCTTCTCTGAGGGCTCAGTCTGTTCTCAGGCCCAGGTTACTACGGGGTATTTTCTCCACAAGTGCTTCTGGCTACACTGGACTCTGCTCAAGCGGTTCATGACGTGTCGTGCAGACAGCAGCTTGCTGAGAGGTTGAATCCGCAGTGAGAACGAAAGCCAAGACAGTTCCCCTCCATCTGGAGCAAGGACTTTGTGCCAAGGACAATGGGAAAACTCCGCGCGCTCCACGTACCTCGCGGTGGGTGCTCGCAGGGAGCACGGGCAACGTCTCATCCACTGTCGCCAGCAAAGTCCTCAGCGCCAAACCGACCTCCTGAGAGGAGAGAAAGGGAGTAACATCAGCTCCACAGAGGGATGGATTACTCTGCACCATGGACACAAATGCATCAAAAACGCGGGAGAGAAACACCCTGCCCGCAGGAAAAGGCCCCCCTACCTTCACCATGGGCACGTACTCCTCCGGCGGCGCCGGCTGGATCTTGCTGGACATCTCGATGACGGCCTTGACGAGCCCGGTGACGTTCTCGTAGACCTTGTCGTTGGAGCGGTCCAGGTTGGCGGTGGGAGGAGGGCTGATCTCCTGCGGCTGGATCTGCAGGCACGGAGAGGCTGCTCAGCGCCCGCTCCCCGGCAGAGGGGGCTCCCGCCTCCCCGCCCGCTCCCAGCGGAAGGAAATTCCCTTCGCTCCCGAGCCTTAAGTGCTCCCACCGGGAGCTCTCCGAAGGGCTTCCAGTGCAGCACCCACTACACAGAGCAAATAATTTGCAGAATTTCCATCTAAGCATCTCCCCACGAAGGGCCAGTTTCACTGCTGAGACATGGGGCTATCAAGGGCCCTCGATCCCAAGTTGTTCTGTGCTCCAGGGACATACTGGACACAGGGATGCAGGAAAGACAGACCATTGCAGTGTGGGTTCTTGAGCATTTCGTTAGTGAAAGCGCCATTAACAGGGAATGAATAAAAAGGGTGTCACTGGGGGAAAACATCGAGCGTTTTCATGCGGTTCTTTCCAACAGATCAGAAAAATGCCAACGGGCTACAAATCCTGGAGTCCTTCCTCAAGCAAAACTTCCAGCAAACTCATCCTGGCTAAAGCTAAATCCAGAATTATTCTGGTGTGAAAAGAAACTTGGAAAACTTAATTTCAGAGCCCTCACTACAGCCTGCAAACGGCCCCTTCCTAACAACTGAGCGAAGCAGGACTCATTGAAGCACCTACAGGATCTCCTGAGCCCATCTGTTGAGATTCCTAGGAAATACCTGAGCTTTCTCCTTGCTGAGCCTGCGCAGCCCTGGGCTGGAGCTCGGCCTGAGGAAGGAGCGCAGGATTTTGTGCCGCGATCCCATTTTGCAGCCCCGGCCGCAGGGCTGCTCCAGTTGGGATTAGGATGAGGTGGGATTGGGGAAATGCATCGGGGGTCACAGCGGTGGGTGCAGGAGTTAGAGGAGGAACGGAGGGTGGTCCGGGCGCGCCGCATGCAGGCCGGCCCGGCGCGGGGCCCGCGCGCTCACGCACTGCTTACCCTCCACGGCTAGCGGCGAGCACAGTGCGGGGAGAGGGGAAAGGAATGTCCCGAAAGGCAGGAAAAAACAAAGAAAAATAGTATTAATAAAACTCAGCAGGAGAGAAAACCAAACTGAACCGAACCCCGCGTAGCAACGAGAGGCCAGTTAAAAAGCCGGCACAAAAGGGCAGCCCCGAGGCGGGCGGCCGGGGGAGCGCGGGGCCCTGCGGGGCGCAGGCCGGCCATGCGCCCGCGCCGGGGGACATGCAAAGCTGGACGGCAAGCGGCAAAGTGGCGGAGGGGGAGAGGGCCCCGGCGTCCTGCGGAACCCCAGGCCCTTCATGCGGACGAGTCGCTACTCCAGAGGTCAGGAAAACGCCGCTCCATCCCGCTCAGTCCTGGTGTTTTCTCCGGGCCGTGCCGGGGAGCGCGGTTGTGCCGCTCCTGCTCACCGTGACCAACGCGGGCACGGCAGGAGCTACCTGGGAGCCCACCCAGAGGGATCCTCCCCGAGCCGCTGAATTCCTACAGGGAGCTCCTAACTTCTCACAGTAAGGATATCTGCATTCCTTAACTTCTTTTGTTGTTGCTGTTTTGCTGTTTTTATAGCTCAGGCTCCCCAGATTACTAGGCCAGGTGTCTCTCTGCACAGCCAGCATCCCTGGCTCCAGCTGGCAACAAATAACCCGCTCAAACTTGCCACCTCTGTCCACGTACATTGACTTCAGTGTCGTATCCCACCTTATCCATGTGCCCTGACACCGAATCCAGCTCTTTCCTACGGACTCGGCAGGGCTGAGCCCAGTGGGATGTTTCCTTTCGCAAAAACTGAGAGGACGATACATCCGTGCAGGAGCCTGAGCTCTGCTGCTGGCCCTCAGCAGGCCCCGAGGCCACTCGGGTTCCTCCATTCCAGGCTCAGAGAGGTAACGGGGTCCCGCAGGCAGAGGGCAGAGCCCGGAGACACTTCTGGAGGTGCCCGAGGGGCCACGGTTCCACCTACACCAGCCGCTGCCATGGGGGACCAGGCAGAGCCTGTCTCAGAGCTCCCCACGGTGCCTCCCTGCTGGAGGGCTCCCAAAAGTCTCGTTTTTGGTGCCACAGCCTCTTTCCTAACCACATCCCACATCACCCCCGCCGCCTTCCCCCTTCTCCAGAGCCAGCAGGGGTTGAGGGCCTTGACGTGGCATCAGCCTGGAGCACCATGGCTTGGACATGTCCCCTTCGCTCCTGACCGAGGCCCGGCGGACATATGACCCGTGACAGCACCCGGAGCTGGGAAGCTTCCTTGCTTTTGCTTCCCATGGCTTCCCCACTTCAGGAAGAATTGATCTCTGGGCGGCCCTGGGTGCTTTCCTGACCCGTGCGGCGTGGCAGGTACCTTCACCCCCTCGTTGTAGCTCTCCACAGGGCTGCTCAGGCTCGCAAGGCTGCCCAGGTGCCCGGGAGCTCCAGGACGGGGAGGCTTCTTTGGTGGAGCTGCATGATCTGGGAGACAAAAAGAAACAATTTAGAGGAGTGACGGATCAGGCGCACCTGGAAATGCCGTTCTGTCACTGCTCCGAGGGTGCCTCACTGCTCCAGCAGAAATGGTGCAGAACTGGCTGTCCAGAGAGGCTGTGGAGGCTCCTACGGAGATCTTCAAACCCACCTGGATGCCACCCCGTGCCCTGTGTCCCTGCTGGAGCAGGGGGGTTGGACTAGATGATCCCTAGAGGTCCCTTCCCACCTCAACCCTTCTGTGATTCTGTGAAATGGAGACCTTAATGTGGTGAAGTTAACTGCATGACCTACACTCCATTTCAAGGAATGCAGACACGGGAAGGTTGGGGAACTCATCCAACCCTCCTGCCCGTGGGTGGATGTGGCTGTTAGGGACAGCAGCGCCCAGCTCCCATGCAGGGCCGGCGGATCCCTGTGCCGTGCGTGTCCAAACCCCGCAGAGCCCCACGGAGGGACTCGGCTTCCGCAGACACCTCCTGGCTGCTGCTCAAACCCCTTCCAGGCCCTGCTGCCCAACTCCCCGCTGGCTGCAGCAGAAGCTCCAACCGGCGGAGTGAGAACCCCCAGCGCAGTGAAACCACCACCGGGATCGGCTGTGCGGGAAGCAGGAATTCAAGGGACAACGCAGGAACCTGCTGCTTACCTGGTTTACCCACGGGCTGGTATATGTGCTGGTTACCAGTCTATAAAATAAAAAACACAATTAAACTCTTTATCAGCATGCCCACAGCTTTCCTTAATGTGACCTTAAGCATACAGTTCTCAGTACGTTTCCCAACATGTAAAACCCTTCTCTGTTTGCCCTCACTAGCCCTCCTAACCGTATCATTCTGATAAATCATTTTCATTTATTTGATATTTTTCACAACAGCCCCCACCTTTGCCATGAGCAACTTATCCTCGCTAGGCTGATATCAGCATTAGGCAAACGTGTTCGGAGACGGTTTTGTTCCTCATGCAGAAATGAAACGAGGTGGCGAAGAGGAAACGGCAGTGGGGGAATTAGGAATTACGAGCGGAGGAATTAGGAATTAGGGAATTATTTTTTTTTTCCTGCTCTGCCCAGTCGTTTTGGTAATGTTAAGAGGGTCTCTTGGCCCTTTCACTTTTTGTTTTCACTGTGCAGCTCTAAACAAAGGGCAATTGGCTTCCTCATTTGGAAGCATTTCGTGATGAATTCAAGCAACTTCCTTCAGTAGCTGCAGTGATCTCATTTTCATGCCAAGAAAGATGGGAACCTGTTTAGTCACAACCAAGTTATCACCTCAAACAAAACCCCAAGTTGTGTCAGAAGAGACCTTGTCATTCAGAGAGACACATCTTATGCAAATAGACCTGCACAAGTTTCCATTGCAAAGTAAAACCCTGACCATTTACTAGGTCTGGCAACAAAACATCTCAACGAGGTTTTTATTTATAAAATACTACATCTATATTATAATTTCCATGCAGTAAGAACATGCCTCTCTCCATAAGGAAACCCGCAGGGCACTTGCAGTTCAGCACTCAAAATTTTGCCTGGTGTTTTTGGAAATATTTTTTTCATTTTTACGATGACGGGTAGATCTGACAACGGAGCCTAGAGCCCAGGTTGTCTAACAGCAAACGAGGCTGCTGCAAGAAGCTGTTCTTCAAACCCAACATCATCCTTGGTCGTGACTTCGGCATCTCCTGGGAGCTTCCCAGGGCACCTGCACGTCTTTAATTACTGTTACTCAAGGATATAACGACAGGGAAGACTTAATGATAACTAATACTCTTTCCAGAGTCACGCACAAAAATGTTTTAGTAGCTTCCAAACCTGAAAACCTCCCTGGAGGTTCTGCCACATTAATGTACATGTTCATTATGGTATTTTGGTGGTAAATGCCGAAAATGTCCCAAAATCAGGGTAAATCAGGGGTAGATGGGGCTCAGGGAGTAAGTCAATACTGAAGCTGGACCTGGGCTTTAAAACGGCACCCCAAACTAATTAGGAATGTGAATTTAAAGCATCAATTTCAGAGAAAATGCTTTAAAAGTGATTGCTGAAGACGAGTGACAGGGCGGCCGCCAGGTTTCACTCGCTGACGTGGCTCCTCGCCCAATTCCCTGTTCCCAATCAGTGTGATCCAGTCATTCCATTGGTAATTAAAAAAAAACAAAACATTTTTATGCAAACATGAAGCCCACAAGAACGAACCCCAGCGCTGCAGCAGCTGTTTGCCAGCAAAGGAGCAGCTATGGGGTTTATCCCACTCGCTTCCTAGCAGATCACTTCCCCCAGGCAGAGTTCTGAGGAATACAACACTGTGACATTTACATTCCTTATGGGAAACCCTTCAGATACTTAAACACTGCAAATGTTATTTTAATCCTGCTGACAGCAGATTGAGAAACTCTCTATTTTAAAATAAAAGGTCGAGCTAAGTATCACGCAGACACTTAAAAAATAATTGCAATATGTTTACACAAATGGGGGAGATCTGTTTCACTGGCAGCTTTTAGGGGAAAATAAAAAACTCTCCAACTGCCCCAAAACTGCTGCCTCAACGAGTTCACCCTGGTTGCTGCTCCTGCAGAATCTGAGCCACTTGGTACCCGCACATAACCGCAGTGGGAATATTTAGGAAAATATTTAGGAAAATGTCTGTGCTGAAGGGCAATGTGTTCCGCCAGGAAAGCGGAGCTGGAGGCGGGAAGCTCCCACGCCTACGTACCGGGCCCTGGAGCCCTCCATCCTCGCGGTCGATGCTGCCCCTGGAGAGCCGCACGTCGGGTTTCTGCAAGGAGAAGAAGGGAGAAGGTTCCCTGTTTATTCTTCCCGAAGGAAAAAAAATACCAGGATGTGGAAAGAGAGAGGAAGAGCTGATCAGAAGCAGAGGTTGCGCTGCTCTGAAAGGCACAAATTCGGCAAAGAAATAGTTCCTTTTTATTCCTGCTTAACTGAAAAAAAGAGAAGTTAAAAGAAGCCAAGAGTCTTTGGAAACAGTGAGACAATTTGATCTCGGGGTCTTTAACTCAACGATCTAAGAATGCAAAGAATTTATTTATTGCTCCAGAAATTCACCCAGGCCCGGCTCCAAACGAGGGAGAGATTCAGCACTTCAGAAAATCCCGAAGCAGGCAGACACGGCCCAGGACGCCCCGCAGACAAACTCTTTTAACGGTGAAGATCAAACTTACGTTTTAACTCGGTGGGGTAATTTAGCAGAGTCCTTCTGGGTGATGAGGCTCCTGGAATTTTAGCCCCCCAGTTGCCTCTCATAGCAAGGTGCTGCTCAGGTTTTAATCCCGAGATCTGTCAGTGGGTTTAATGTAAGATCCTCGTGTCCAAATTCCCCCACTTCATACCTGACCTCACTGTGTTGGGAAAATCTTCCTGGGAAAGCAGCGGCTGGGCTAAACTCAAATGCAGGTTTGAGCAAAAAACGTCTGTGTCTGCTGTTATACCCATCACAGGTGTCAGTTTTGGGGAGGAATCATAGTTTATTTAAATCTTGCTGAAAATCGAAACCCTGGAAAGGTAACTGCCCCGCTCTTGGTACAACAGTTGTCCATGGGAGATCCTCGGGAATGTCAAGAGGACTTTTTGGACAGGATGTGTCTGTTGACATCCATCTTTTTTTTTTTTTTTTTTTCTCCCAGTATTTCTGGTCCTTCTCTAATAAAAGAACGTGCACGTCTCGGTATTCTCACGACATGCCCAATTACGATGTCTTGGTGGGATTTTCTCAGGCTTAAATTCCTATTTTAGCAACAGCTCAATTGCAGTTCTCAGTGTCAGAATAGGACAAATACAAACCGCAGCTATGTGGGAATTTCAGGAAAAAAAAAAAAACAACAAACACGATAAGGAAACTATGCAAGTTATTTCTTCTAAGCCTATCGCGGGAAAGGACTATAAATTTCTTAATTCAACACTGCTCTGTCTGCTGAGAAATTACTAAAAGGCATGAGCCTATAGGTCTGCTTTACACAGATTAAAACAATGCCTGGCACCATCAACACAACCACATCAGACAGCCTGGATATTAAATACATGTTGAGAATGAGCTCATTAAAAAAAGAAACAAGGAAGAAAATCATTCTGCAAAACCTGCAGGGAAAGATCATCCTCAGATTCTCAATCCAGATGGCAAAAGTGACAGGATAAAACCCATCACCTTCCTAAATGGTACATCCTGAAAAGAAACACAGAGGCACTTTCCCACCTCGTCCTACAGGGTGTCTTCTGCAGCTCCCTGTGCCAAACCTCAGGAACAGTTGTGCTCCAGCCTCCCTACATCTCCTTCTATTCCCAAAAAAATGGGAGGGGTTTCTTGGTCCCCTTCCTAGAGACATGGGCATCCACTGCACGTTTATCATGCCCACGTCTGCAGATGGAACCGGTGTCCACTGAAACTGCCGGGCTAGGGAGCAACATCCTCTCCTTGCCAAGGCCTGAGAAGGAAAAAAGTCAGTCCTGGGAAGAAAAATAAATAAATCGATAAAGGCAAAAAAAAAAAACCCACACTCGTTGGACAAAAACTTCCACTTCCTGAGTCTCTTCTCACCTTCCATTGGGAACACACACTGCAGTTCAAATTTTAGTGCTTCTTTACTTGCTGTGTTTTAAATCACAGATTTATTTTCTATTTGGGAGCTTCTCAAGGAGCTCCTCAATCCGAGTGAGCTGTTTCTTCCTTCCTTTTGGAGGCCAATTCCCACATTCTGGCTGCTGGGAGGAGTGTGCCTGGCACACAGAGCATCTCCCAAGGCTTGACTGGGGCTTCTCCGAGGAGCAGCTTTGGGAAACCACTTAGGCAGATGTCGGAGCGCTGGCGAATCACCCTTTTGGTGCCACTGCGTTTAATCCTCCAGCTGGGGACTCCTCCAGGCCAGGACAGCAGCAGGGAGGCACCTACTTGTGCCAGCGTGTTTGGAGGTGGGTTATTTCGCTGCAGTTTTGAGTCACGGGCGAGCTGGCGGCGCGCGGGCCGTACGCACGGAAACGCCGCGGAGGAGGTGGCTTCTCAGCGCCGTGTCTCGCCTTCAGTGAGTCACTGTGAGTCTCCCGGGAGAGAGGAGAGATTCTCCAAATTCCTGAGGCCCTAATCTCAACAGCAGGAGTGAGATATATTTTAGGAGGCCGAAGACGGTGTTGACAGATCTGTGAGTCAAATTAGGAAAGTCCCAGGGAAGGAAGCCCCTTCCTTTACCAGGAGATACAGGGCAGCCAGGGAGAGCACAGGAGTACATGTAATATTTAGATTATTTCTTTGTAGACACATTCAGATTATTTCTATTCTGTGTTTGGATTCTCATCTGTAAACTGGGGGTATCTCCAGGAGGCCCCCAAGAGCAACTCGCAACGCTGACTGCAGAGAACGGCCCCAGACAGACACAGATTATTCAAAAAGAAGCAAATAATTTAGAAACTTACTCCTTACTCCTCACTTAAGGCCCAGAGACAACCAACAAACCCCTCTTCATGCAGGAATCTGGGGAGTGGCAAGTGTCCTAATAGCGCAAAGGTTGGATTTATTCAGAAGAGGAAGGGCTACAAAAAATTACCACCGATTTTGCCCCGCACGCTAAGACCACAGCACCTGAAGTCACCCTACCTCCTTCTCCATGTATTAATTCCAAGCTAGGAAGTGTTGATCCACAGTGGATGAATCTGAGCTCTTCCTCTCTTAGGAAAGTCACAAGGAACTGCTGCCACTCACGCCTGGAAAAGCTAATGCCTAAAATAGGATGGAAGTTTCCCCATCCCCTCCTCCCTCCCAACAACTTGTAATGATTTGGATGCAGCAATCTGGATACAGTGTCCTGTTTGGTTTTAAATGCTACCAGCCAATGTCAGACCTCCAGTTCCCAAATGCCTTCCAGGGAAGGCCTCCAAAATCCACCTTCAGTGTCCTCTCATCCAAAGCAGCCTCCCAACCCTGGCACTTTGTCACCTATCAGTTACCACCCAGCAGCCAGTAGAGATTTACCCTACCCATTAACATCTTCTGCTTTAAATAGCCTGTGTATTTATTCAGTCTTTCCTCCTGTAACAACCCTATGGCACCACACATTTATACAACCATGGTTTATAGCCACCTACAACGTTAAAGCTTCCAGAACAAACATGCCTTGAGATACACTTAAGAACCTGGATAAAACCTGAAGATCAAACATATGACAGATGCTGGTCACAAGCCATAACAAACAGTCTCAGTGGCACTGACAACAAGACAACAGGAAACTGCAGAGAAATGGCAGTAAGAGGTCCATGACTAACACATTTCTTCCTCCCCTTCCTCCTCAGTTGAACTCAGACCCTTGTTACCTTTAAGATCATTCTCTCCCATGCTTTTAAATTACTTCTTCCCAATAATGTGTCTGTATTTTCAAATCTTACTGTAGCTAGGGTTTTTTTTTAAGGGGTAGAGCAGGCACAGCTCTATCTCCTTAAGACAAAAAGAACAAAAAGCAGCCAATCTCCACATTGCCACAGAATTGTACCCACAGCTTCCTAAACAGAAGTATTCATGTGAATAAACTGGGACTCATGAAAGAAACCAGCTGCTCAGAATATTTGTAACACAGGACTTGTTTACTAGCTGAACACTTCATTTAAACCCTGTTTTCAAACCTGTGTTTTGGGTCCGAAGTTATTTGTTCAATAATTATTCTCAGTCCATAGAAGTGATCAGTTTTAGCAAATTTTAAGAAGTTTTAAATGAAAATTTTTAAAAGAAGGAATTAAGAAGCACTATGAAACGAAGCATTACCAGGAATCGCTCCTCTTTTTCAAGCCAACGCTGATCTTCTTCCATCTCCTGCTGCTGTCGTATCAATCTCTCCTCCATGAGATGTGTGGGAAGAATCTGCCCCATTCCTCGTATGTCCAAGGGGCCCGAATCCTGTAAAAGTTAGGTTCAGTCTCACCACTGCTGGAAATTTGCACAAAAAGCTGCAATATCCTATGGATTATAAAACAATAAATTTAAAGAAGCCCAAACATACAACAGTGGTTAAGCAGAGTCCTCAATCTCCTAGACTGAAGCAGTCCAGAAGAAGTGCTTTCCCACTGCTGCATTTTATCACTTATCCTCATCACTGCAACCAAAAAGATTTGAAGAATGCTGTTTTGTCTTCCAATACCGTTGTCACCACATACTTTGCACTTCATTTGAGTAGGTCAACAAAAACATTTATCAAATTCATTTCCTTGATCTTGAGCAATAACACAACTAGCCAGTGGCTAGAACTGCAAGACGCATTCACATCCAAACTAAGTTTCTTTTCTTTTCTTCAGTTTCTGCCAATACTTGTAAAGCACAGAATGAAAACACTAAGAAAGTGAAAAATGTTGGAAGAGAATGAACCAAAAAATGACGGAAGACAAAAAGGAGAAATAATATGATGTTCCTTGCAGCATTTTGCAATCACAAGAGGCTGAAGAGGAATACTAGGAATACAACTCAAGAAGAGTTTTGCAAATTTTTCGACAAAACTTCATTTTGACAAAGTTTGTCCTCTCTGAGCAGCCACAAGTTCCAGAAGAGCTTTCTTTAAATAAACATTAAATGCTGGCAATCACTCATTTAGCCTCAGTGTTTAGGTTTAAGATGCTAAGCTGTAATATGATTTCATCAAGAATTAGCACAAAAAGTCCAGACACTTTATGCTCACCCTTCCCAAAGAGATTTTGGTTCAAAAAGAAATCAATTTAGTCCCCACTCCCACAGCAATCAAGAAATTAAAGAAAGGAGAAAAAAAGGACAAATGTAGTTAATTTTCCTGCGGCAGCTTCAAGATGCACCCAAATAGTAATGATATAGTGCATTTTGTGTACAAGGCATGTGCAGGTCCACGATACCTCCACGTTTGGTTGCCACGCGGATATTTCTTGAGGCCGATGGTTCCAGGACTCGCTTTGGTCCAGGATCGACGCTTGCCCGGGGTAAATGCTGCCCGCCATGGCAGGTATCCCATGAGAGCCCGGATAGCTGGACACCTGCCGGAGAAAGGAAAGAGGAAAAAGAAGTTCTATTGCTATGCCCTGTGCTTCTCCATGTCCAGGAGTTCATCCTCCTTTCCCCCTTCAAGGAGTGAGGGGGAGAGCGGGGAGTGACTCAAGGCGGGCAGAGCCCAGGAGGGAAGCGGAAGACGGAAGCCAAGCCAAAATGTGACACACACAAAAACCCTTTCTGTAATCCCCGGGCTATTTGAGGACGCCTATCCAGAACTTTTTAACCTCTGGAGTCCAGGGGATTAGGGCGCCCCGACGAGCAAGAGCAGCGCTAAGTCGCAGACACGGGAACTCGGCACGTGTCTCCCCAAGGAGCCCTACGGAAAGGGCCACGTCGCCGAGCACGCCACGAGCCTGCAGGAAACGGGCCCTCAGCCAGAGGGCATGCACAGTGTGCAGGGTAACTAATACCTGGTAATGGTTTGGCTGGACCATGTGCTGCGGGCTCGGATAAAATCCCTCGCTGGATCTTGGGCTGGGGTAACCAGGCCGGCTGGGCTGCAAGGGCAGAGGGAGTTTGAGAGTCTTTAGAAACAGAGCAGTGCAAGAGCAGAAGATGGTGGCGAGACAAACGTTTATAGGGGCCACATGACAAAAGCAAGCTCTAAAAGAAAACCGAAATAAACATTGCAGATGATTTACAATGTTATCTATTTTTACAGCGAACAATTAAAGTTTCCCCTATTTTTGTGCAAAACAGAACAACCTAAATCTCTTGCTAGATACTTCAAATACCCAAAATGCCTGTGCTGAAAAGTCTTTCTGCATATTTCATTGCCATTACTAAAGACCCTGCTCTGTGCTGATTAAGAGGACCGGAGAAGAGCATAATTCTTAAGTCAAGTTTCCAGGAGCTAACGGTGATGTTTCTAACAGCAGAGCCTGCTTTAAACAAAAATCCCTCAATTTGTTGCTTTTGTGAATGTTCCCACAAGTAGATCCTTTTGCTGAAGTCTCGTCTAAAATGAGTGCAAGTCAGGCAAGCTGATTCACTTGGTTAGTATGAACTATTATTTATGTGAATTATTCTGAGGACTGAAGCTAGGTCTGATTATTAACGTCCATGTAACTAATTGCCCTGAAGTGGAAGGTGCTTTTTGCTCATCCTTCCTTACACCAGTTTTGTTTGCAGCCCATTCCCAGCCAAGAGAGACAGACTGAAATAGCTCTTATTAGAAAGGACAGCTAGAAAGAGGCTATTAGGCGAGGAAAAGTGCTAACGGGTGTCTCAGGAAGAGAAAAATAAGCCAAACAGGGAAAACGAAACCAAAATAAACCCCAAACTCATCCATATACAAATGGACTACTAGAGTCCCTCTAGTTGAAGGTCACCCCCAAATTACTTTGGGATAGCACAGTTTTATTGTTAATGTTAGGAAAACAGTCACTATCCTTCTGTACATAAAAACCACTGTACAAAATCCTAACCTAACTTCATATATATGAGGGCATCTCTAAGGGTTAAAAACTTCACCCTCCAAATAGTGGTAGGAGAATTAATTTCAATCCTAATGCATCTTTTTTTGCAGGTGTTTCAGATTAGACAATATCATAGCCTTAAAAATGAACATTTCTAACAGGGATGTTGGTCTTCACTACATTAAAAGCAGTTATTCTACCTGGATGAGCCCCAGAATCACAGGACTAAACAAATGCTTTGGACAAGGTTTTAAGGATTCAGTGGCATTTTTTTTTTCCAATTCACACTGTTTATCTCCTTGCCTGCTATGGAAACGGAGAAACGAGTTCCCAAATCCATTAGGCAACAGAGCTGCCTATGGGGAAACGAAGCAAAACAAAAACCAGTGACATCCCCACGGGGTCTGGGGGTGGCAGAAGGTGACATGGGGCTATGACGAAAGCCAGCAGCAGGGCTGGCACAGCGGGCTCCGTGATTTCACGATCACAAGCTGATTATGGCACAGGTAACATGGGCCAAGAGGTCAAAGAGGCTTTGAAGAAGTAACTGCAAGATAAAAAGGAGGTTGTTTCTCCTTTTTTTAGTGTATACGGAGCGTTTCGCTGCCTCAGCTACCTTGGGAGGGGCTTCATCGGATCCTCCCGAGTCCCAGGACACGGTGACCTGCCGCCGCGACTCCATTCGCATCCGCTCCTCCTGCTGCAGCTTCTCCTCCTCCAGGATTGTGCTATGGAAAATGGAAAAGGTGCAATTAATAAAATGCCCCGTCCAGCGTGTCCCAGGGCTCTCCCCGGAGCACTACGTAGCCCAGTGAGCGGGCACGGGGACAGCTCATCTCCACAGAGGGTAACGTTTCCAAAACACCATCTTCGGGAAGACACAGAGGATTATCTGTCTGCCCTTAACAACAGAAATGGCAGCAGGAAGTTTTTAGAAAGTTGTGGTTGAAACATTAAAAAAAAAAAGTTATTTGCATTTTTTTTTTTGATTTTTAAAATCCTCAACACAGTAAATCAAGCTCAAAAATATGTTTTTCCCAAGCAAAATATTCCACTAAACTGCTGTAAAGGCTCCAAACAGAGAATATGCTGGTGCTCCAAATTACTACGATTTTTTTTCCTTTTTCTTTATCAACAAAGCAACATTGCAAGATCCGATGCCTCCCTCCTACGTTTTTGCCTAAGCAGGAACACAGGCAGCAGAGAAACGGAGCCCAAGAGAAATCCAAGGCAACCCTGAGCCAGCTCCGAAATTTTCGGTTCCAAGGGCTGCGTTTCCCACCGAGTGCAAGGCAGCAGGAACGCTCCCTTGCTACTTACCCCCGCGCTGCCTACGGAAAAGAGCACTCGGAGCTCCGTGGGATTCCGCTGCCTCCTCCGCCGCAGCCTCCTCCCGGCTCTGCTATGCGGATTATTAAGGTTGGATATTTGCCATCTCCAAAATACCCAGAGAGAGGCTTGGAAATGGGGGCTGCCAAGTTGCCCAGCTCCTCGGGAGAGGGGCCCAGTCGCGGCTCTCGCTAGCGCAGCGGGATAATGCCGGAGTCACGGAGAGATTCCGGCTTCTTCAGCGCTCCGGAGTTTCCAGCAGTAGAGCCGAATCCCGAGTTTCTCTCTCTGTTTTTTTTTTTTAATCTCCTGCTCCGTGTGCTCAACAGCCACCCAAATTACTCATGCAAGGGATGAGGTCAACTGCAACAACGCGCTCGGAGCTGGGAACTCGCCTGCTCCGCTCGGGAAGAAATTCCTGCTTGGCGGGAGACTCGAACTGCACTTCTCCTCGTCCAGCCAAAAAAAGAAAAGAGAAGGGAGGAGGAACAGGAATAATAAATCCGTGCCCCTTTCCCAGACGGCAGCAAGAGCGACTTTACGAGCGTTGCTGCAATTTCAATCCATCACCGCCCGGCTGGCACAAGAATGTGGAAGCAAAACAACCTCGGACAAGTTATGTGCACAAGGAATCCTGATAAAACCACGGCACAAACACGGTGGCAGCGCCCCGGGGGGGACGGACGCTCAATTATTTCTTCCTCAAGTCCACCAAGCGCTAGCAGAAACGCTGCTTTTCAGGCTCCACTTGGGCTAGCTGGCACGTAGCCTTTCTGGAGCTCGAGAAATCGGTCAACACGGGGCCACAGCCCGGAACCGTGGCTACGTTTGCTTCTTCCAAGAAATATCACGGGATCCCAAGTAAAAATAAATATGTATTTTACACAAAATGTATTTTGCAACAAGCCTTTGAAAGAGCTGTTGGGCTCTAATGGGAGTAAAAGAGATGGGGCAGAAGTCAGCTACAAGGAGCCGACTTCAGGGGCGCCTTGTCGACCGCTGCGATCAACATGGTGTTCACGGTGCCAAGTGTTTCATACGCCCCAAGGAAGCTCAACAGCATTGACTGGAATTAATGCTGTTAGGAATTCCTGCCAAAAGGATGGATTTTCCCAACAGCAGCTCAGCTTTCCACCTCACCCCGGCAGCTCCTTCGGCTGGGCCACCAGGAGCTGCTCTCCAAGCAAGCCAAGGAGGCGCCCTGTGCAAGGACAATCCCGGAGCGCTGCCGCCGGAAGAGAAAATGAAACAGGATTTGGCCCAAGGCAAAGGCTAAAAACCACTTACAAAAATGCCCTTGTTTCTGCTCCAGGAAGCCCAGGCCTGGAGCACCCGGAGGCCAAGGGATATTTTTGCCCTTTTCTCAGCGCAGCTGCTTGCCGGCTCTGAACAGCATCTTCCAGTTTGCAGAAGGTCAGGCCAGTCAGATCTAGGCATATTTTCCCAAACTGTGGATATTTTTAGCAGCAAAGACAAGCAAGGAGGAGAAGGTTTTCTATTCATACCACTTCCGCAGCAAACCTTAAGGTGGTCTGAGCAAACGTCGCTCGTCTGAGGCCGAGGAGCCTGATTAGTCATCCCAGCTACTAAAAGCTCCCTGAACTGATAAGCTCATTCACTTGACAAAGAGCCCGTTTACTAAAACAGGCCTGTGCCACTGAAAAGGAGTCTGCGTGCAGGAGTATGGGAAATCCCAAAATATCTCCGTGTACTTCAGGAGATCATGTTCGCCGATACCACAGCGCCGACGTTTTAGTTTTTGTGTTCTTCTGGTTTAATGTGAAACACTTGTTTTCTTCTACTAAGAAGCAATACTGAAAGAGCTACAGCAAACACGGGCACAGAAAGGCCTAAGTCCAGTCCTCACAGGTTAATTATCTCACAGCAGGGATAAAAACTCTCCTTAATTTGCTATTTTCAGTAGAGAGGAGGCAATGGCAATGGGTACCTGATAAGAAATGCATTCAATGCTGCAATGAAACATCCCTGAATTCATATTAAGATATTATTACGATTAGCACTACCAACCAAAGGGTCATTTGGGGTGCCACACTTGAAAGCACAAGCCTGGGAGATGACTTGTGACCAAGTCTGTGCCTATATTGGTGTTACCTTCCCAACACGACACCTGCAGCACACTGCACCTCTACAGATAGCAAAGAACAGAGGAAGAGTGAGGCTGAAAATCTATTTGCTTCTGTGCTTGCTCTGAAGCCTTGCTGGTCCCTATACAATTTTTGGACCCAGAACAAAATGTAGAAAAACACCCTGTTTTCCTATGACCTCAACAGTGATCTATAAATTCTACAGAAATCAGCCACCCCACAGGGCACAAGCAGCTTCAAAAAATGTTTGTGCAAAGCAGATGTCAGCATGAAATGGGGAAAGCAGCAAATAGCAAGAGCACATGAGTTGTTTATGCTCCCATCAGTGCTACTTCAGATGCAGAAAAAAGGGTTTTTCTTCCCAAACTCATAGACTCTTGTCATCAAGAGAGAGGAATGTTTTGGCGATACAGCGTTGGTTTCAAGCACGTAACTTTGCCTGCTCCCAGCTTGGAAAAACTGTCCTGGAGAGTATCCAGAAAGAGCAGCAGAAACAACACACAGAAAAGGCCACCAGGGAAATGGCTTATTTTTGCAAGTTCATGGGAATTTGAGTTCTGAAACCCCCTCTTTCCTAGCTGCCCGAGATTGTCTCATGGGGAGGGAACTGGCAGTCTTTCCAGCGACTTCGTGCGGCGCAGAGAAGCCTGAAGGACAACAGCACAGGAAGGTCACCCATTTGGCGTGGCAGAAAAGCCTCCGCTTTGGGGAGGAGAAGATGGATTTAAGGCTTGCTGTGGCCGCAGAAGGCAGCTTGTCCTCTTAAAGAGTGTCTCAAGTCACGGAGCACCACAAGAGGAGCAAAAATACCCTTCCTTGGTTCACCTTTCAGCGAGTTAAGCTTTAGGCTGGAAGGTCTCCTGGAGGTCTAAAACAGGACCTAATGGAGGCCAGTCCAGATCTGAAAGTTCCCAGAACAGAAATCCCAAGCTCTCCAGACCTGTTTTGGTGCTCAAGCATGCTCTCTGGAAAAACATTTGCTCCTTTCGATCCAGCTGGGATCTGCCTTGCTGCAACCTGGGACTTACTCCTCACCCTTCGGCTGCGCCTCCCTGAGAAGAGTCAGGCTCGGGGACACTGGTCTGTCCCCTTATTCTGGTGACACCTCTCCTGCATCTCCTCGCTGCTGACTTGTGCTGCTCAAGCCCTCCAAGTAAGGGCTGCATTTACTTCACTGCCCTGGCTTTACTTTCCCTCTCCCCTTCTTGGCAAGATACTCACTTATAATGATACGTTCTTTGGGACAGGGCCCATGTCCCTCCATAATTATACAAATTATTAGTCTATGCAGGATTTCCAGGCATACCAGACAGTGCCACAGCATGACATTTTAATGAAGAGGAAAAGACTTAAAGATAGCTACAGAGCAGGACAAGTTATCCACGCAGCAGCTCTGAAAGAGCATCAGAATTAGAGTAAAATCACCACTTATTTTAATCGCCTGAATCACCCGTATACTTGGACATCCAGTGACAGCTCAAATTGTTTTATGAAAATACACTGTGCTGCAAAGTACAGCTTTTGAAATCAGGCAAAATTTAACCAAGAAGCATTTGGCAGCGAATTGCAACCAAGCCACTGGATTTATAGCTGAAAGAAACTTAAACTTTGCTTTCAAGGCTACTGTTGACCTAGCAAAATAAACATTGAGCGCTCAGAAGATCTCAAAGGTGACTGTAAACATGAAATGTGCTCATATAATATCTCTGATGCTTTCTGGCTTAAGACTCAGCTGGAAAAACTGAGATACGGATACATGGATTTTTCATGGAAAGAGAAAGAGAACGTTTTAAGAAAATGTGCAGCAAAAAGAAACATCTTTGAACATGGAAACCGTCCTTCAGAGGTATAACCCTACCTGAGTTGTGCTTTGAGTTCAGTAAACCTGGGTCGCCGGCTCGGGTCGTAGGCCCAGCACTTGGTCATAAGGCTGTAGAGGGTGGGAGGGCAGTTTGGAGGCATGGGCAGGCGCTCGCCATTCTCGATGCGGCCGATCACGTCGTTGTTCTTCACCCCCTGGAAGGGCTTCACGCCGTGCATGAGGATCTCCCACATACACACACCTGAGAAACACAACTCCCCAGGGTCAGTGGATGATGAAATGGGTATCAAAAAGACACCTTCAAAGCCAACCCAGCTCCTGAAAGACAAGGCCTGGGCCAACGGCAGGAACTGCCACGCGCACGGCTACGCTTGGCCCCTTGCAAACCCGAGCGGCTGCTCGGCACGGGAAGCGCCGTGGGCTGCGTTTGCTCTCTGACTCGTTCCAGCTGGCTCGTTTCAACTTGCAGAGGGTGATTTGGCTTTGAGGGAGTCAACGCTGGCGTCGAGCCACATTTTTGGTGCAGAAACTGTGGGGTGAAACAGTTTCTGTTGAAACTGCGTTAGAAGCACATAGAGGAAAACGGTGTGCCCGGTTCAGATCAGCCACAGTGATCCACACACTTAGTTTTTTTGACTCTAACTGCACCCACGTTATCTTCAGACTTTTCTGCACCCAGTAAAAATCATATATGTTTAAAATCATGTATGCTTAAAAACATTCTGACTTTATTTTTTAAAGAAACTGAATTCTTATTTGCTAGTCCGGCTCTTCCTTGAGGCCCCATCACCTTTCTTGTCCATCCTGACCAACAGACCATGAAGCTCCAGGGGACCTGGGGGACCAGCCTCATCCAAACTTACATATTTCGAAAGAACCAAGCTTAGAAATCAAGGCCATGAAAAAGCCCAAACGACTGCTTGTTGCTTACCAAACATCCACACATCGCTAGCTGAGGTAAAGCGTCGGAAGTTGATTGACTCTGGAGCCATCCATTTGATGGGCAACTTGCCCTTGGAAGCTGCAGGGGAGGGAAGAGCAGGGAGGATGTGATTTCTGCTGCGGGGCTCAAGCAATAGCGCAAAACCTCTCTTCAACCCTCCTGTTTCACCCAAGAGATTTCTGGAGGCAGCAGCTCTGTGTTGCTTAAACACACGGACTGACTGAGCAGAGGCTCATCCTAATTTTGAGTGATTTCTTTGGATTTTAAGGGATTTCTTTTGATTTCAAGCTACATCCTGATATCAAATCCTGCTCATGCAAAACCTAGTGCTGTTACCAAGAGACACAAGGGAAATAAGGAAACATTCTGGGGAGCAGGGGTTCAGGTAAGGGATGTTTTTGCATATGAGAAGCAAACTTAGATATACAGTCAAGATTAAATATATAAAATCACGCTTTCATAATAGGCACCAGATTTTAAATGCCATCGTTTGGCTCCCTATAACGCCATCTCTGTTCTGCTCTGTTTCCCATTTATCAGGCACTTCAGGATATCTCACAGATGAGTTAACATCAGTTTTCCATATAAAATGCAAAAAAGTAGGTTTCAAAGAGTTTTTTTTTCTACTAAATCTCTGTAGTCCCTACTGCTATTTGCTATTTTGCAGCACATAACACCAGGACAAACTCCTGATGAGCATCTGTAGGTAATCTTAAAACTCAGACTATGCCATGAATACGAACATATCTTAAGCCTCACATGTGGATAACCTAAAATTGCAAAGGAAGCACTGTAAGCTTGTCCTAAAGAACACAATTTTACCTGCAAATCCAAAACGGTAACTTACCTTTATAGTAAGTACTGTCTTCCATATATCGGGATAACCCAAAATCACCCAATTTCACACAGTCAGTGGCAGACACCAGCACATTTCTAGCAGCAATATCCCTGCCAAAGAGAGGAGACACTATTTCCAGTCATCTAAAAAAACATAAAGTGGCAAAATATCATCAAAAGGAATATACTTTACATCCCAGAAGTACCAGACTCCTTGGAGAGGGCCAAATTATTTTTCTAAGCATGGTTTAGCTCTCCATGTAGAGAAAAAGACTACATGACATTCTCCATTGCTAATGAAAAGCTTGAAGAAATACTGTAGTGCATATGATCTTTAACAAATATCATATAAAAATATAACTATTGGTGCAATATTAGAGAAAAATAGTTTATTTAAAGCTCACAGGCTAACCAATTTAGGCAGGGAAAACACATAAAGCAACAACCCAGCTGAGGTGTCCATCCTTCTGACTAAAGACAGCAACGTCTCTAGGTCAATCTAGCAGTGGGCCAGCAGGTGTCACTCTTGAAAAGGGTGAATTTTGGTTGCAGAACCTCAAAATAAAGCCTAAAAAACACTAACACGGAATCTAACATAAAACAGGCGAGTGGATTTAAGGAGTGTCTAAGAATTGCTGCTATACAACCATCAAGAGAAGCCAAGGAAAACAAAATAGCAAGGAAGCTTTGAAGTGTGCAACCACAGCAGGGAGGAGGGGGCAGCCTCTTTCCAGTGGTGGCACTGACAGAACTAGAGGAAACAGCCACAAACTGAAAAACCAAAAGTTTCGCAGGAACTTAAGGAAAAATGTACTAGCAGTGAGGATGACAGAGCACTGGAACAGGCTGCCCAGAGAGGTTGTGGAGTCTCCGTCTTGGAGATCTTCAAGGCCCACCTGGACGCAGTCCTGTGCCCCGTGCCTTGGGTGACCCTGTGTGTGCAGGGGGGTTGGACTAGATGATCCCCAGAGGTCCCTTGCAACCTTAAGCATTCTATAATTCTATGTCTTGTAAAGGTTTGGCTTCACTTAGTAAGTTCAGCAACTATCTAGGACACTTCTCATATCCTAAAATTATTAGCAGATACATATAAAAAATATATATGCATACATACACAGGTGTGTTTTCCATCAGATCTTACCTATGTACAAATCTCTTGCTCTCTAAGTAGGCAAGTGCTGTGCTAAGCTGGTATGCGTAGAGTATCAAAGAGGCCAGATCCAAGCTGTATTTTCTTACTTGCAAAAACGATCTCAGCTTTTTGCACAAAGAAGAAAAAAAGGAAAGAATGACAAAAAAGGTAAATTATTTGAATAAAGCGTACCTTAAAGTGTAAAGTTTACCCAAGTACCAACTGACGTGCCCTCCCCTTAGACCGGAGGACAAAACAAAATCAATAGTCACGCAACAGTGGGGGAAAACCTGACAGATTTTTGTGTGTGTGGAAACTGTTAGCTAAACCATGACAAAATTTTTGCATCGCATTCAGGGACTTCTTGAAGACAAAACACATATGCTGCTGCTGGTCCAGACTCAAGCATTCCTTGTCTTTCCCTGAATTCTTTCCTTGAAAACTGCTCATTTTTGGCCTAGATAATTCCGGGAGGCAGCGGTATGTGGCCAGTGTGAATACCAGGGAGATTAGTATTGTTTGGGCACCATTGTTTTACATTTACATTCACATTTGCTAAAATACCCAGCTTCAGCTCAGAGTACCTAATATCAATGAAGACTTTTTATAAAACTATTTCTGGTATAGGGCAAGCAAGAACTAATAGACTTTTCTTTTAAAATTAATATGAGGTGTTTAAAACAATTTGTGTACTGGAAAGGAGAACTGCAAAGTGTTGAGAGTAGATGACCTGTGTAATACAGCTTTGCTGGCATTTTCTTCCCTTTGTTTCAACTTGGCCAACTGAGAATTAAACTGAATGTCTTCTAATGCACTAAATAAAAATACTTCATCTCAAACATTCACAAGAATGTGGCTCAAAGAAAAAGAGTCGATCGTAGAAGCTGAGATCCATAAAAGTCAATCAAAAAAGTTGAGGTCTGTTTAAACTATTCATTCAAAAAACATAATAATGAGGAAAACCTCATTTTTCTTCCCTAGGGTCCCTGCTACAGACATCGGAACAGAAAATAACCAGAATAAATTCAGTGTTCATGGAGAAAAGCATCACTCAGGAAGCTACCTTCTAAAAGGTGAAAAATTGTAGCTTTAACTACTGTCAGCAAAACTTTGTAAGTTCTTTGCCCAGGAAGAGCAAAATGGACTCTCAGCTTTCCCTAATGGTTACACACACAACACATTTTGGGGGAATAAAAGATATACTGTATATTTTTTGCCCCAAGAAGGTATGTTTGCAAATGTTGTCTCACAATCGTTGTCTTATTGTCAGAGCTCTCATTCACACTTTGGAAAAGCAACTAAATCACTGTGGTTTGAGCTGCTGATGCTCCCTTAGCAGCGGGATTAGGCCAAATTCTGTGGTTTCTGAATCCATAATTCTGCACACAGACATGGCAGCACATTTGAGGAGTTTGCCTCCACGTAGCTTTTCAGACCACTCTGCATTAGCACAGAAACAAATGATTTTTCAGTGTTTTACAAAAGTATCAACTCAAAAGGTGAAGGCCAAAGATGGATGAGATTTTTTCCCCACCTCGCCCAGCGTACAGAGCTCCATGATGATCCAAACGGGGTTTTCTGTGATAACTCCAATGAGCTTCACGATGTGAGGATGATCAAACTGACGCATCGTTACTAAAAGCAAAAAACAAATCAAGTTAGTGCATCAAACGTAACAGTTAGTGCAAGATCTGTTTTGTTCTGTTTTGGCAACAAAACAACAAACTTGAGAAGCTCTTAGTCTGTAACTGAGCCACCAAAAGCCAGGAGGCACAATAACAGTTCTGTGGGCTTTTCCACGTGTGCTGCCTTAACGTCTGCTTGAGATTCTGCATCGTGGCTGCAGACAGCCCAAGATCCTGCCTGTCATTTATGGCATCAACACAACATCTCCTTTAATGATTATGTTCCCAACTGCTTTTATTTTCTATGGGCTTAATTAGCTCCTCAGGCTCAGCCGGGCAGTCACAGCACATTTGATGCAGCAAGATGGATAAATGTTGATTAATGCTGTGGGAAGATGTATTTGGTAGGTTAAGTAAAACATCAGTCTCCTGATTAAGTATTCATTTTCTCACATATACATGACCAATATTGCTAATGTAATCATAAGGTAGCATCTCTTTCACATTTACAGTTTACAGCGTCAACAGAAATACATGGTATTTACACAAGTGAAGAGTCTGCTTCAACTCAAAAAAATGAGCAGAACACTCTTGTTATTTTGCTTTTCAGTTAATAAGACAGTTTAACACATTGTTAGAAAGGAAAAAAAAGAAAAAAGGGCATGCAGAAATATCAGCTGGGCAATACCAAATGGTAAAACATCATATAGAATTGAAGCTGAATCCTTGAATCATTCAGATTTGCCACCTTTTTGAATTAAAGAGGATTTTATAGAGGGGGAAGGAAGCTGTTTCCAGCATCCTGATAAAAAGGATGCACTACTAAACTAGAATCTCTGAACCCAACTTGTTATTAAAACCTTTGTAAATGAAGTATCTATCCCAAGTCTTTTAGTTTTATGGTTCTCTTGCAGCTAATCAAGCTCAAAAGCAATTCTGAATATGATTTATAACACAAAAATGTTGCTTCATTGATGTAAAAGTGAAGCAGGAATACAGCTTGATCACATCAAAATTAAAAACCAGCCCTCTCCCTGCTACACGAGCATTTCTGATTGGTCAAGTTCAAAGTGCAGTAAGGACCCCCCAGCACACAAGTAATTATTTTTAATTAATTACAATTCTTAATAGATTAGGAATCAGCAGCATATCCTTGACTGCTAAGATATTACCATGAGCCATGGTATTTACTTTGCCAACAACTATGAACGTAATTGAAAAAAGCAATAATAGATTTTAAAAAACTATATTTAAAAAAGAAAAGCTATTAGCTACAAACACAGATTTTGTTGATAGTCAGAAAATATCCTTGAACATGGGAATATCGAGTGTCCTTAACCAAGGACACAGCAGCCCTGCACGTTCCTCAGCAATACAGTAGCAGAGGAAAACAGGCAAAATTAAGGTGTGTGTCTCATATTATTTTGCTCACAAATGCCACTGACATCAGGGAAAAAATAATGCTCTTCCAGAAATTTTGCACTGGTACCAGCGAGATTTATGAACACTCGCAAAGTTTATGGCATTCTTAGAAATTCAGAAAGCCTTTTGGCCATGTATGAAAAGCACCGTTGGGGGAATTGCAGGATTTGTCAGCAATTATTTCAAAACTTGGATGCATATCATTAAAATTTTGAAATCCAAATCGCCTAAACAGATTTCTTTTAGACATAACATTTTAGTAAACTTTGCTAGGAAGGACAGCAATCTGACTCTCCAAAGGTGGTGCAATGCACTCCAACAAGTGCTTTATTTCTTTTTAATTCAATAGAGAAAAAGAGGAAACAGAGGATCAGATCTCTAACACGCCAAAACTGCTTATCAAGTCTTAGAGAGTTGGACATCCCTGCTTAATTTTGAAAAACATCAAGTTTTCTATGCACGGTCCTATGCACGGGCAGTGGAGGGCATCGTGCAGTCTGCCTGGCGCGTATGGCAGAAGACAAAGCTCATGTTATACAAGTGGGAATATAAGTGCAGGCTACATATACATACATAAAAATTATTTTTATGCATTTTATATAAATATACTAACATTTACATATTTTTATAACTTCTTGGTTTTATATATCAAGCATTTAAACTAGTAGCAGCTGCTTGAGGCACAGATGGCTGCAAAGTCTTTGCAGAGACCACTTCTAGAAGCCCTGGAGAAATATTTAAATACTCACAGGCTTCTTGTAAGAACTTTTCTCTAACGCTGTCTGAGGTGCAGTTTTTACAGGTTTTGATTGCAACAGCCATAGCTGGATTTTCCTGAAAGACAAAAGATGAGGAATAATTGAAATGAGGCCACGTGCCTGCGCTTACCAGACTTGGACACACTCAAACTGAAGCGTTCACTTGGCTATTGCTATTTATTTCCTGATGGGAATGTAGAGCAAAGTGACTACCCTGGAAACAGGAAGTCTTCTACATCAGTTCAAAAATGTTGAACATGCTGTACATGCTGAATATACTTTTAAGTAGACCAAAACCAGTCAATGCTTGCTTCTCCCAGTGGACTCAATCCACGGCATTTAGAGGCATACAGTATTTTTATAACTAGCCATTAGCTTTAGTATCTCAGAAGTGACACTTACTGGACTCATGTAAACTCCTTGGTGCACATCTCCAAACTGACCTTCACCGATGCAGCGCCCCAGCTCAATTCTCTCCCGTTGAATTTCATAATCCCTGGCTGCAAAAACAGAATGCACTTAAAATACCAAGTTTCTAGCAACGAAATAATCCACAAGATACCAAACTCAAAGTCAGTCACTCAAATGTCTCACATATGAACAACTAAGATTAACATCTGCTGCACACCAACCTATACAAATACTGCGTACTCACAGAGGAGTCCTCTTAAACATTGCAATTAAAGCAATGAAATGGGAATATTGACATTTAATTTGCTAAGTTGACTGAATTATTTATTTCAATGCAAAAGATACAATTAAATCTTTTGTAATTACAGCTAATAAAAGACAAAGAATGCAAACAGCCTATGGCAATATGGAATGTTTTAAACACAGCCCACACACACATGCTTTTATACGTTTAAGAGAACTCCATTCTGGGGTATTTTAGATCTTTGAACCATCAAATGAGCCAGGAGAATTTTTAAAGAGGCAACTGCAAGAAAAAAAAAATGAAAACAACACCATAGGAAATAAAGATCAAATAAAAGAGAAAAAATTTGAGTGCACTACACTTCTGTCGGCGTATAATTGAAATGAAGTTGATAAGATGTTCTGGGACTTAAGCAATTTTGTTCGCTTTGTGGTTTAATAGAGTGGAGATATTACTGATAAAAACAGCTCACCGCTTCAGAAAAACATCTAATCAGTTGTAAGTGAATTACTTTGCAATTTAATTTCTAGAAGACATGGAAAAATACTTCAGGAGTAGCAAAAAGATATTTATAGTATATTTTCACTTCTTTTTCTATTATTCAGAGAAAAAAAATATATAATCAAGCAGCTTAGACTTCACGGCTTCATTAACACTACAAAATTAATGTCTTCTAGCCGGATAACAAAGCGATCAATGTCTTTTTCTCCAACTCTTGTTTTAGATACTGCATTTTCCTCTTTAAAATCCCCAGCCTAGCCCGTTTAACGATAAATAAAAAAATGCTTATTAAATGAAAGTGATAGTAAATTGAAAAACCCCACATCATTCCAAACTGCAAGCACACAGAGATGGGTAAAGGGTCTCCTGTTACCTTCATCTATTCCATAGCTTTCTGCAGTGCAATTAAGAGAAAAATCAAATGCTTACTTAGAGAGAGCTTCTTAAAATTAACAAGACAAGGACAAATATATTTGAATTTATTAAAAACAAAAAGAAGAAATAACACATTGAAGCAATTTCAAGTTTACATTAACAGAAGTCATGGGTCTGGTTATCTTTCCTGGCTCAGTCCTTCGAGAGCTGAACACCTGAGGCCCCTTCAGCAAAGCACTTAATGAGCATCACTCCAAGGGCGCAGCTCGTGGGCGCTCGGCTGAAGGTCTACTTAGGTGTTCAGTATCATCCAGGGCTGAGCTCACAAGGAACATGAGAACTTAAGTGAAAAGATTGCAAAAAAATACATACAGAGTCAATATGCTAACATGTAATAAGGTATTTCATCTACCACAGTATCCTTGGATTCTGCAGTTATTTTCGTAGCGCCCTGTACTGACTTACTGCAGAACATTCAAAACACGTGTTTGTTTTGGGAAAACACAGGTATTTTTGCTTTATTGCTTGCCATGATAGAGCACTGCATTGTAAACACTGAAATGACTATGGAAGATTCCTCCCCTGTAAGGGAGGAATCTCTTGAAATCCTCAGAAACATTCCTTGTTCTCCATTGTCCTAGGTTAGCGGCATCTCCCCTTTCGTCCCAGCCGAAGCTGACGTTTCTGCAAGTGTGTGCCCTGCTCCTCTACTGCTACTGAAGTCCTAGACTGCCATAATGCAACCTTGGTTTGCAGACATAATTTGTAACACCACAACACTAAACTTCCTTGAGCATGATTATGCTCTAATTCAAACATGCCAGGAGATAAAACGCTTGCATAGGCTATTGCATTATCTTTTTTTCTGACTTCAAAGATGAAGATTCAGAAAGAAACTTGGCATTTTTATGCTCCTAAAGCATCAAGGAATTTAGAGCAGCAAGTCTGCCACAGAGCAGGGCTGAGATAAAACTACAGAGCAACATGCAAAAGCTAAAGAGTTCCCCAGCTGTTTGCTCTTAGCAAAGAAACTATATCCACTCCTTTTTCTACGCATGCATTCATGATCCCAAATAAAAATCCTGCATTTTGAGATTAAATAAACAGATTTTACTGTACAGTTTTTGACAACAGCAAAACTTGTGGCAGAATTTGACTGTCTTGTCTTTGCTCTAAAAGTTGAATTTGAAGGACATGGAATGCATGAGTTTTTAGAACATCTTCCACCACGAGCATTTTCGTTGCCCGTGTATTATTTAAGGTTGAAGTACAAGACTCAGTCCCCACTAAGCCTAAGAAACTGTGAGACCAAAGCTCCCAGGTGAGCAGGCGTACTTACTTGAGGGCATTGTGTAAGTATCTTCTTCATCTATAATCTCCGCATAGTCATCTGTTTCTGTAAAGGACGAATTAAAGAGTTTCGGGAAAAGCAAGCGACAACAAATTCCATCTTTTTACCACCATCTCCAATTTATCAACGCTGATAAGCCACAACCCCAACTTCCCCGCTGCTGGGAGCCATTTGCCACAGCATGACCTCAACTTGCTCATGCATGAGTTGCTTATGGAAGTGATGATGACTTCAGTGCCTGTTCCACTATGTCACGTAAGGGCGCTGAACAGGGAATAAAAGCAGAATTCACTTGTATTTCAAAAACCTGTAAGCTCTGTCACTGAAGCCAATCCGTCCCAAGTGATGACTTAAAGAAAAAACCGTTTTTATCAGCAAATTACCACCACAAAAAATAGAGAAAACATTGTTGTTAATGGATAAAAACAGAAAATATCAACAGGCTAAATGCCTTTATTTTCCATGAAGAGTGAATAAAGGTGTGCTAGTTTTGCTCTATCTTAGAAGCAGAACAGATAGTAAAGATGTTCTAGGGCAGCATCTACCTCCAGTCAGTGTGGCAAGGTGAATAATTTTCCATAGGTTCTCTTAAGAGCGTGAAGATCCTTCAAGGTCAAACTCTGGCCTTTCACCCTTTCTTCCTCTTTTAATCTTAGTTTTCCTTGTTTAATGGAAATTCACTCCAACAACTAGCCAGTTTTGCTATCCAGGATCAGCACCTCCCAGTTAGTTTTTGGAAAACATACATTCTCAAACTTTTAAGAAGAAAGACTCCTCTTCTTCCTTTACGACTTCTTATTTTTACATCAGCAGTTCTCAAAATGGTCTAAATAGTGTCAAGTCCTATCAGACGATCCTCCTCTTGCTCTAAAAAGTCTCCAGTGTGAGAAGATCACTTCCTCGCCATCAGATAAATTCTCATTTTGGTTGACAAACCCAATGCACAACAGCGAGAGGATTTTTCACTGCAAGGCCATTAAATTCTCTTCATCAGCTTTCTTTAAATACATAAGAAAGGTACTCAAAACCCAACACCTGTAGTAATATATTTTATCTAGTAAAAACAGAATGCCTATGCTGTGTAAGCAGAGAGTGTCTAAGCTCATGGAAAAAAGGAAGCATACATTTTTATCTTTTTTTTTGGTATTTGTTTTTCCTCCATATATTATAAATGTACTTTTTATACAAAATAATCTCTAATTTGGAAATAAAAACTAAGTACTTATCTGAAAGAAAACATAACTGTGAAAGCAAGATAACTGGGATAAATCATTCTGCTTTCCTGTCATATTATGGTGGGATATTTTTAAGTTGCTAGGCCAAGCATTATACATAAATATCTATATATAAATCAACTATCTTTTTGAGCTATTAATTGAGGCAGATGCCAGAGAGTACTTTATATAGGCATGTAATGAATGAAGGAGTGAGATTATAAACAGCTTCAAGAAGAATTAAAGGAATTTGGGCACTAGAGCTGGTCATTAAAACAGAAAATCAAAACGTTTGCCACACTACATTATGGAACAGGGCTTACAAAATGTGGCAAATGGCTTGGCTTGTTCATCTCTCCATTTTAATTAATGATGTTCCTTCATGTTAAAAGCATTATCAGATCACTGCAGGCCAGCTTACAGGCTTTGATATTTTGCCCAAAACTCAACTGAAGCTGGAAGGGTCTTCAGCTGGCCAAACCAAATGAATTAAAGGTAGTTAATTAACAAATATTCCTTGGTATGCGCTTCATACTTCGGGGATATAAAGCTCATAGGGCAGAAAACGGTTCCCATCTATCTTCATTCTTTCTGGGAAGAGGAGGGAAACTTAATCAAGGCGTAACAGTGACGAGTGCTTGAAGTGCTCTGCACCGAAGGCATCAGGGACCTCCATCGCTTGCAGACTTTACACCATGGCTAGAGTCCCGGAAGACAAGTTTCTACCAGGAACTTTGCAGGACCCACAGAGAAAAATGAGTGTAAAACAAAACTCATCGAGGCAAGGCTTTCCACACTGCTTTATGAACATGGTAATATATATGGGAGTTGGCCACTTGGTGCCTTATCAGAATATATTTATTACAGCACAGGAAAAACGAGTCCCAGTAGAGGACATCTGTGCCAGCCAATTCATCAGTTTTACCCCTGTGACATTTCCCTTTCTATGTTTTCTTTTCCCAGTGTCTCTCAAATTCCATAAGTTTATAAAAGGAATTAGACACTAAAAATTTCTGAATTTATGACAGAAAAACTTTGTGTTTTGAATTTTTTTAGAAAAGAAAATTGTGGTGGCATTATCTTCAAATGATTGATATCTGAAGGGAAGAATATCCCCTTTGCATTTTACTGACTTGAAAGCCACAAATATATTTCCCTTCTCTTCCATTAGAGTTAGGCCTTGGAACAGCTGAAATCTGAGTAATATTTCAGATATTTAATCAAAGTTTTCCATAGCTTCTTTTTATGCAAGAAACACTAGTGGACAGCAGAGCACTTTGATGCCACCATGTCTTTAAAGTCAAGCATCCCTCAATAGACTTGTTTACCATTCAAGGGCTCATTGGCCAAGGAAAACCTGTGATGCCACCATTTTAACCAAAACCAATGGCCACTCCTGACACCCCAGAAAGCTGCTTTGCGCCATGCCAGCACTCACACCGCAAACACATGCAATCCCAAATCCCCACGTGGTGGAAACATTTCCCCCCCATTTTTTTCTATTCATTGAGCAGAGAGTGTTAGTTGCGTCACCTGTAAAGTACAGGGTATCTTAGCTGGTACCATGGCTTTTTAATACTACAATTTGCATAAATTTGATAACTGAAATGTGCATTTAAGCGGTATATGGATATAAGAGCTGCATATTGCATGTTAGTAACACACAGACTAGAAAACATATTACCGTCCCCACTAATTTCATCTGCAGATCCAGGTGGCATGCAAGGAGAGAGAAAAACAGAGGGGGAGAGAGAAGGGACAGAGAAGGGGGAGGGGAAAATATACTATTAAATTCATGAGTAATCCAAAAGTATTAAGACTGCAGTTATCTTATATACCTGACTCAAGAGAAACCAGAAAAGTAGTGGAGTTTAAGACTTCTCACCTAAACCCAGGGGATAGAGATATATTTGGAGTAGTTTGTATGAAGAAACAGTTAATGACTTGCAAACACAAAAATTAAATTTGGGAGTGGAACTGGTTGTCCCCAATGCATCATTAAGCACTGCTAATGTGTGATTTAATTGGGTGCTTCCACTAGAGGCCAGCTCTCCTCCAGCCAGAGGGGTCCCTTCAATTTGGCTTGTAGAGCTCCGCAGAGACACTCATGATTTGGGAAAGCCAAAGCTGGGCTTGACTCTTTCGAAGGACACGTGCTCCCAAAGCCATCGCCAAGACACAGAGAAGAAACAGAGTAGGTAAGGATTCATTTTACGGAACATTTATAGTTAAACAGGCTTGAAAGTTGTAGCGGGGGGGGTAAACGGAGCGACTCTACAGGGAATCTGTTCAAATAAACCCGTGTTCTGCATTCACCGCGGGGCCGTAAGCCACACCGTTCCCCACGACACAAGCTGATGCACTTCAGACATTATTTATAAAATGGAAATGCACATTAATATTGCAGAAATAGTGCACCTATTCCTCAGATTCCTTTTACCCCAACCAAAGACAAACTGGTCCTCTCCAAGTGCTGAACCAGTAAGCAGCCACAAGCATCGCTGTAGTCAATATTTAATTTTCAAGTGCTCTTAATTGATGCTTCTTGATGCTATTCTACTTCATTCAGGAGCATGCTGTAGCAGGGGTCCAAGAATGAGGTTCAGATATATTGACCAAAAAAAGAAAAGGAAAAAAAATGCAATAAAACACTGGGTATTTGGGGACTGTAGAGTTGTGCCAGTGGAATCACTAATGTGTTTTCCATTCTAGCACATGACAGGTGGGACAAAGTTCCCAAGAGAAACAGCAATCAGCGACTTTGGGCCATTGCAGGAAAATTCAATGCAGGAAAATCCAATCAAGGAGGAAGGGATGGGCAGCAGAAACTTAACGGCCATTATTCTTGGAACTCTGTTTTTGCCTATGTCTAAAGTCGGGAACGAACAGCCACTGAGTTAGTCTAATATTCAGCGTGGGTTAACAAGGCAGCCTAGGCAAAGAGCAGTGCAGTACCCGTAGCCGGCGGCTCATGGGAACAGAAGACGAAAGGCAGAAAGCGTCTCGCTTTCTTTACTTTATGCTGACAGTGATTGACTCCTTTACAGAGGCAAGAAAAGGAAAGAGAGAGAGAAAGGAAAAAAAAATTATTTGGAAATAAAACCAGAAGAGACCAGAGAGAATATCTACAGTGAATGAACGCAGGAAGTAAAGGGTTACGGCACAACTCCGCACGCGCCCAACGGGTACATGGAAAGTTTTGAAGATGTCTGGCTCATTAGGTGTTTTCCTGAGAATTCCTTTCCCCAGAAATAAATTATTCTTATTGTGCGCTTTAAAAGTGGTTGATTGGTTAAAAAGCTAACTTTTGCCAACGCTCTCTCTGTATCTATCTGCCCTTCCTAATGCAGAGGACGGCACCTTCCTAAGAAGTGGAAGGTGCTTCTGGGCGCTCCCCTCCTGAAACACCAAGCAGGCAAATCCTGACCTCAGCGGCACTCACCGGAGTTCAACACAGATGTGTTCACTTGCTGGACACACACAAGAAGAGCTGGGCACAAAAGCAGCATTTCACAGGGCCCCCTTGGGCAGAACAAGGCAAAGCCCCTGTTTTCTGCATCCCACCAAAAACCAGCATGGATGCTCCTTAGGACATGAAGTAACTGCCTGGAGTTTTATGCCCAAGAGTGGACCTGCCTTGGAGCTGCTACTCCCAAATTTCCAAAAACATCCTGGAGAAATGGCTCCAAATCCCTGCAGGCCTGGTCACCCTCCAGCATGTGATCAGCTCTTGTCACAAGGACAGAGATTCAGGGAAGGAGAGACCGCAGAGAAACCACAACCAATTTCACAAGCTGAGAGAGAAGGAAAGAAAAAGATACCAAGAGCCCGCGGACATCTTTGTCCTTCTGTTATTTCTCTCGTTATCTGGTTGCTCCTCTCTGCTTTACTCCTTCCTCCTTTTTCCTCTGTCTCAGAAAACGTAAGATGTGGTTTCCAAAGCCAACGAAGTAACAAAAAATAAAAACAAACCTTGATTTTTTTTTGTGGACTCCAGAAATGGAGGCACTATCAAAGCAGATATGTTCATGCAAAGCATCACCGTATAAAAAGCCAGGCAATTTTTCAGATGCCCAAATTTTGAGGTGCAGATTTTGGGGGACGGTACCGAACCTGCTCCATCGCTGCCTGGTCTACAGGCTGAGGCTGACACATGCACATGGCAGGGGAACGTGCTCCTGGGTGCAGCTTTAATCAAAGCAGCAAACATTAATGAGATCCTGTGTTAGAAGCAGGCAAACTATTATTCAGTATGTTAGTATAATACCCATATTTACCTAGCATGTTGATATATTACTTAACCAACAGGGACATGTCTTTTTCACTGCATAAATTTCAGCATTATCATTCTAAGGTGAGCCTGAGCTTCCTCACAAAGCTTTGGAGATAGTAAAAAATAGAGAAATATTCCTGCTATTATTATAAGGGACTTCAGGAATACCAAACCCTGTAGTGAAATGGCAGAAGGGGTCACAGAGCCACTGGCAGCACCACAAGATGCCCCCGAAAGGGAAGAGATGCTGCCACTCTTGATCTTCAAGTCTAGCCACAAAAAATGTTAAAAATCTGCTCGCATTGAGTCCTATATTCCTGAATCAACTTTACAAAAGCTTTAAAAAATTCTGTAGAAGGAATAAATCCATTTGTTTTCAAGTTTTTGAAATGAGTGGTATGCAGTGAGAATATTTACCAAATGCAGCTGTCAAAGCAAATGTGCTAACACGCAGCAAACAAGAAGCACTGCTAGTGACACGGGGGACATTTCTGTAGTTGTCCTACAGGGTCGTTACTAGCAGTGCAAAAGCTCAAGTCGAAAGAACGGATCCTAAGGGAAAAATGTGGGTGGGAGAGCTCTCCTCAAGCAGTGACCCAGGCGCATGAAATCAGGGAGAACTTGCCAGGCACTGAAAATCAGGTTACACACAAGAAATCACAGTCCACTCTGGGCTTAGCATCTAAGAGGAGGAGCAATGGTAGGTTAGTAAGGCTGAAATACAAGAGGGTAACACACCAGTTTATGCAACAGTGCTGGAATCTTACATTCTGCAGTTTAGCAGGGCTACTTTCAGTAGATGAGCCTCTTAATTAGAGCAGCTGGGTTAATTAACTAAACGGTAATCTTTGTGAACTTGGAGGCTAATGAGTTGCCCAAGGTTTGAGAACTGATCTGTGAAACACTTAGTCTTGAACATCTCCTCGGCCTGTGTCCATAGAGCAGATCTACAGCTGGGCACAGTCTTCACACTCCCCTGGTTACTGAATAACTTGGATGTATCCTTTATGCTATGAGTTTGGGGCTCTTCTTCCTTCAGAAGCAGTAGGTTGTCCAGTGTGGTCCGTTCAAATACGAACTAAGGGACACACTCAGGATATATTTCTCATCTTTAAGTGTTTTCTTGCACTTATCAGCAGAAAAGATCACACACTGCACTCTGCCAAGAGAAGTAATTCAATAAACCCGTATTTTGTCTTTCCACCCTTGCCCAACTTAGGCCATAACATTAACTCTGCACTTACTGCTTTAATTTAAAAACGGTTTGTGCTACTACCAACAGCCACGTCAACCAAGGAACACGAGGACAAGGAGCTTCCCCCTAAGCTGCCTGTTTCCCTGTTGAAGAGGGTGGCCTTGATCTGTTAGAGGGTGTAAGGAGTTTGCTGTAACGTCTGACACCAGAGATTTAAACGCCCTGCAATTTCCATCACCAAATATGCACTTATTAAAGCTACAAAACCAACATCCACTATGAGCCAAGTCCCAGCTCCTATGCCAGGCCTTAAAAACCCACCCCAAGGACGTACCTGGAGCTAGTGCCTGCAGAAAGGTCCGTCTTTTTCCATATTCATCTCTCCCTAGTTATGGTTTCTTCCCTAGAGATGCATTATTTTACCCACCAGGACCAGAACATCCCAGTGACAGCTGGGACTGCCTGTTCAACCCATTTCCGAAACGTTGTTTTCTGCAGCTCTCTGTTCAACACCAATTTTGGCAGAGACAGGATTAAAAGCAGCAATAGCCACAAGGTCCTTTAGGGCTGGCCAAAGGATGCCAAGCTACAATATTTATTCTTCCTAGTCATATTTACAGAAGGGAGGGTGATGGGGAGGAGAAATCAAGGAACTCTAAGTCAGGAGGAATTTATGTGCAAAGGGAGCAAGCAAACTATGGCTTTATTGATTTTGTCCTATAAAGAACTTATTATAGTAAGTAATTGACTGAGTAGACTATTATTTTTGGAAAAAAGTGCGCCGGGAAATATGTGCATCACCTCACTAAGGTCAATATTTGCTGTAAAACTGTAATAAACTGGTATGTTACCTCTTGCAAATTAAATGTATTTATCTCGATTTCAAATATTGAGCCCTACCATTGCCCAAATGTACGTTCCTGCTAAGTACAAAGAATTATTTTTGATGTAAAGATAGATGTAGAGGGAGAAGGGGATAGAAGCTGCAACTCGCTATTAGGGCACTAGTTGCTTCTGGTGAGTGACAGTAACTTAAGCCAAACCATCAGATCTATGCCAAAGAAATCTGAAATCAAATTTCATTGTGCTTTTTATTTATACTTCTGTATAAATGCACACATACACGCAAACAAATATAACAAGTTTTGAGGGATAAATATTATTACTGTGCTTAAAAAGCAGGGAAAACTGGTAGGCATCTTATTAGCACCTGATGAAAGATGGTGCCTGTTGCAAGGAAGGTAAGATTTCAACAGGGCAGATAGACAGTGCAAGAAGAGATGGGAGAAGAGGCAGCAATAACAGGTATGTGGTCAAACAAGGTTCAGTGAAACACGGCTAGAAGAGAACATTTCTTGGCTCCTCGGTCCAGTCATCTGATGCTTTGGATTGCCAGAACCAACTTCAGCCTTTCCTGGTTTGAAAAGGTCTTTATTTAAGGCTAGAGCAAATAAAAAATATATATTTTTGTATGCTTTGGCATATTGAAAATACTTGGGAAGAACAAGCTTTCATTTCACCAGAAATTCTTCAAGATATGTTAATAAATATTTCAGAAAGGAAGTCCAGAAACCTTTCATTAACATGCAGATCTCGAAAATTTCAGAGAAAAACCTGAACCCCAAGCAGGGGGAGAACTTTCCTTTCGTACTAAGGGTATTAGAACTACAGATATGTCCCACGGCTCTTCTACTGTAAGTTGGTTACAGGTGTCAGCAGGAGAGACACTTCTTGGCATCTACACGAATTATTACTTTGTCTGAAACAAGTCCATACCTTCAGGAACTCAAATTCTTAAGGAAAGCACCTGGGATGGTATTTATTGAATTATTTTATGTCAATGCACTGGCATCTGTGTCAAACTTGAGGCACTTACTTAAATTTGGGGCAGAAAAAAAGAAAATGTTCCACATGTCCTTACCAAAAGGAAGAGCAAACTTAGACTGAATAATAGACGCAATGACTCGAGTCATTCTGCATGCCAGCCCTTCCAGTGTTTTGTAACATGGCTTAAAAACAGGCCCCAAGCACAAGCATTTCACTGTGGAACCTCACTACAACGCAAGAAAAATCCAGAATTGGTTTTGATTTTGGTACTGGAAAGAAAGAAGGGGCATTTGCTGGCAGTTTTGCCTGTGACACCATGAGGCAGCTTGGGACAGCTAGGGAATCCACAGCATTGCTGATTCTGTCTCTCTTCTGGCTTGCTGGACGCTCTATTTGAAGGCTGGTTCCCCAGTAACCATTAATCTTTCCGTGATACCCTCATCTACACAATTACATGGTATTGAAATTCCTTATATTAACAGCAAATTGCTGCTGCTGCAATGGAGAAGAGGCAGCTCTGAGCCACACCACTAATTCAAAGTGCAGCCCATCAGGCAAGGAGATAGAGTGGCTAAATTTGCACAGAGACTGCAATAAAGCTTTGGGAAGGACCAAAATAAAATCAAGGACCGTTTATTACTATATCTCTTTCAATAAAACCTCTTGCTTTCCATGAGGGTCTGCCTGCTTGTCCCCAAGTTTGCTGGGCGGCTCCTGTAGCAACACGAGCTGCTACTCGACCCCGTGAGGTAACAGTAGCTACGAAGCTCCGTTACACCCCTGCGGCCTGATGGACATTTCAGTGCCAGATCCTTTCCCTTATTTCATTGCACAAGGTCTCTTTGGCCTTGCTATGCTAAGAGGAGAATCTTAACTGTCTTTTTGAAAAAGGATAGAGGTGGGGAGAAGAACAGGGAGTCGGGAATTAAATAAACACCAGACCATCTCTCCTTCATGCATGGAAGATGTGTAACTACATAGTCACATAAACATTGTGGTGATATTGCAAGTCAAGAGTGGACACTCTTGTTTTGGTCATAAAAATGATGCTGGAAGCTTGTGGCCATATGGATATGCATCTATAGGGATACATAATACACCTATGTATATCATATGCCTATAGGGATATGTCATCATAGGGGTACACTTGCGCACTGAAACTCTCCTTTGTAAACATTAACTATAAGGCTTCAGAAATATGTTTCTATTAAGGAGGACACTCAGTCCCTTAGAAGGACTTAGTTTTCAGACTCTGGAAAAGAAAAACATTCTCCGTCAACTATAAAAAAAACTTTAAGAACACAAAATACAGGAACTCCAAAAAGAAATCTTGAAATGTAGAGACTGGAAAAACAACATTATCACCTCACATCCTCACCCGTCAATTAACTGCAGTGACTCTCAATGGGAAAACGCAACCGGACTCGGATCTCAACAGCAACGACACAGAAAGAGCTGTTAGGTTCCTCTTTCAGAAAAGAGACCACTAATACTTAATGGCCTTTTTTCCCTCGTTCTAAGCAGCTCCTTTGCAACCGCGTTACTGTCAGCCACACAGCAACTTAAGATAATAGTATGTATATAAACATGTTTTCTAGAGATAGATACAAATGTGTTGCAAAACACTGCGGGTCGTTACAAGCTTGGCTTTCTCAAGCGGCCTGCCTGCGGCCATCCTCGCATGCAGAGGAGTGGGAAAGCTCCTTTTGAGCAATCCCTCCCTGGAGGTGGGACTGGGAAGAGCCCTGCGAGGAGCCGGCTCCGCAGCGAGCGCGGCGCAGCCTCCCGTTCCCCCCGGCCTCCTCCGCGGAGCCCTTACCTGACACGGACACCGTGTGCGCCCGCACTCCCTGCTTCTCGTTGTTGGCCAGCCTGCAAGAGAGCGGGGGGAAGCGCTGAAGGCTGCACATCCCTGCGGGGCGGCACGCGAGCCCCGCGCCGAGCGGCACGCGCCGGGCCCCGGCACTCCCCAGGGGAGGAAATACGGGACTCTACCATTCCCAGGCCGGCTGGGGGAGGAAGAGCCGCGCGGACGTTTCACAAGGCTGGTTTTAATAGGCACATACATCTATAAGGGCACAGTATACTTAAAAAATAAATGCATGTTTTAGGCAGCTTTAAAATCAAGTAGTACAGGTCTAAACACTGCATTCAGTTTTCTCTATCTCAGTACTAAATATCAATGATATCAAAGTGTATCGAAAATAGATGCACTGAGGTGGGTTTTATGCAATATTCTCAGGGGAGTGTATTGAGTTTCTGTCTGTTAGATAACTTACCTGGTGTAAAAACACATATTTAAATTGAACTGTATGCCAAATAAATAAAGGAAACGAATTAGAATTAGATTCATTTTATCTGTGGAAACTCATTCGTGAAAGTAACACCCCTATAAATTTTTTGAGCAATTTTTCTCTACATGCACACGCACATAGAAAAGGTTATGGTAAGAAAGCAAAAGAGGAGAGTGCTTCCGTGCTTTGGGAAGTCTGAAATTTCATCTGTCAGGAGCCACCTTCCCCAGATGCAAGGTGATGCTGGCTAGTACTTTTGTATGTCTGACCAAAATGCTTTCCTCTGCTGTCAGGCTAACAGCAAAGGTAGTGCTTAAATAGACTCGATATTATAAATTCATTTTAGATGTCTCCAAAACGGCAAGGGGAATATCTTCCTGAAAATCTTACTTTATCCCAAAAATTCTTATAAAAGAAAAAAAAAATATATATACACATATATAATGTAAATAGAAGCTTATTCTGTCTTTCTTAGTTGTAGCCATGCAGCTAAAAACAAATTTATAGCCATCTTGCATGCCCCTGAACACTGTAATGGTGCGGATGTCCCCTTGGGTACGGTCAGAGGGGAACAATTTAATGAGACTGGGCTTTAAATTGGGGCAGAATGTGGCTACTCAAAAAAGAACCAGACTGTAAACAAATAAAAAAGTAGCACAGGAAAAGGAGAGGAATTTAGGAAGTCAGAAGTTAGAGAAGAGAAGAAATAAATCTCGACACTAACATTAGTAGCAGGGAGAATCAGCAGAGACGACTAAGAGGCTTGTAATCGGTGTCTAATGGACTACAGTGTCCAGCAACATATGGAACAGGCTTTTTAATATTTGCCTAGGAGACTGAGATGGATTAAAAAAATAGAGAGAGGGGCTAGCACAGCTAAGAGCTATTAGATGCAGCCACCAAGTGTCATCATACCTTGAGCACTGTGACACCACAAAAACAGTCAGAGAAAAACCAAATTCATTGATGCAGAT